GCTCTCTTGCTGCGGCTCCGGCAGCATCCTGCCCCACCGGTTGGATGTCCCCTGCCCCATGGGTGATGGGAGCAAAGCCCTGCCTTGGCTCCCCCCTGCCTGCACCTTACGGGGGTCCCAGCGGTGCTGGTGGGGGGCAGCGGTGGGGTTTGCCCTCATCCCCGTCTCTCCCCTCTCCAGGCCTGTCCGGGAACCCGACCGACCTGGAGAAGAGGCGGCAGGTCTTTGGCCAGAACTTCATTCCTCCCAAAAAGGCCAAGACGTTCATGCAGTTAGTGTGGGAGGCGCTCCAGGACGTCACGCTGATCATCTTGGAAATCGCAGCCATAATCTCCCTGGGCCTGTCCTTCTACCACCCTCCAGGCGGTGACAATGAACGTGAGTCCCTGGGGTCCCTGCGGCATGGTGGGGTGCTCGGTGGGGAACCCACGTGAGCTGCCATGCCCAGCCGTGCGGGAGCAGGGCTTTGGGACAGGGGCGGGGGAACCCCGCGTGGCCTGCCATGCCCAGCCGTGCGGGAGCAGGGCTTTGGGACAGGTGCTGTCTCTGGAAGGTCACCCCGTTGGTCCCTCCACCCTGGTGCAGATGGAGCAGGGAGCTACTTCTGCTCACCCTTTCGGTGGTGGCTTCTCCCCATCCTTGGCATGGTCCCATCCCTGTCTAGGGACCTGCACTGATGGATGTGTCTGGGCACAGCTGTCACCACGACGTGGCTCAGAGCTGCTCCTTGCTGCTCCCCCAAAAGATGCTCAGAGATCGAGGGGTCTGTTTAGTCAGGTGGCTTCCCAGGTCCCATGGGGCTTCTCTTTTGGTTTGGGGCATGGAGGGAAAAGGCTGTCTGTCCCCCGATACCTCCCCCCGATCAGTGAGTGCTCCTCCCAGCCGTGACACCCCATGTGTGGCTGAGTGACAGCGTTGGGTGATTTTCTCCTCCCCGGCCCTGGATCTCTGTATCGTTGGAGGAGTCGAGCAGGGGCAGGGATCCGGAGATGCAGGGAGACAGTGACTCACTCGAGGGTCACGCAGCGGAGGGAGGGCTGGGTGCTGCAACTGGAAATAGAAGCCAGTTGTCCTGGCTCTCTCAGCCCAACCTCTGCCAAAAATGAAAAGTGAAAAAAAGAGGGGAAAAAAAAAAAACAAAAAACAAACCCAAATGTCTCCAGGGACGTAAAAACCCTCTCCTGAGAGCAGGGGAAGCCCTTGGACCAGTTCAGGGAGGAGGAGGGAGGAGTAACTGTCTTCCAGGCTCTGCTCTGCACATGTTACTCAGAGGAAAGCGGGTGTCTCATTGTGCAAACGAGTTTTCTCCTCCGACTGCAGTGTGTGGTCAGTCGGCGGGCGGCGTGGAGGACGAGGGCGAATCGCAGGCCGGCTGGATCGAGGGGGCGGCTATCTTGTTTTCGGTGATCATCGTGGTGCTGGTGACCGCTTTCAATGACTGGAGCAAGGAGAAGCAATTCCGGGGCCTCCAGAGCCGCATCGAGCAGGAGCAGAAGTTCACAGTCATCCGCAAGGGGCAGGTGATTCAGATCCCGGTGGCCGAGATCGTGGTGGGAGACATCGCGCAGATCAAGTACGGTGAGTGGAGGCGGCGGTGCCTGGGGTCTGTCCTCGGGAGCCTTGGCGGTTCCTCCTCTCTGCTTTGCCGGCCCTCTTGCCTTGAGGGGAAGTGTGGCTCCTCCAGTTGTTCCGTTTTGCGGCGTGCCGTGGCCAGGAGCAGTGGCCAGCAAACAGCTCCACTGACCTTACTGCTTGCTGGCCTGGAGCTGGGCTGGCAGGGCTAAGCCAGGCTCTGCCCACAGCTTTGGGCCGCTTTAGCGACCTGCTGGTCTCAAAAATGATTCCTTTTTCACAACCGTGTCCTTGTTGGTGATCATCTCCTTAGCAAGGAGGAACATCATCCTAGCAAGGAGATGTAGCCCTTGGGCTAAACTAGGTCCTGCTCCTTGTTTACCAGGGGGTATGCTCATCCCATGCAACTCCTGTCAGGAGGGAGACTGGTCCAACATGGTGTTCATTTCCACTTAGGGCTTTTTCCTTTCTCGGCGGGTGGATGATGGGATCGTGTGACAGTTTGGATATATCAGGAGGCTTTGGGAAGGATGTGATGTTGATTCAGTAAAACCAGATGGGGGAAGCACTGTCTGATTGAGCAAACATCCTCACAACAAATGCTTTTGTACATCAGTGAAGATTTTTGAGCTATTGGATATCATCTTATAATACCCATCTGTCTTATAATACCCATCTGTTGCTTGTCCTCCCTCTAGATTTGGTCTGAGACTGAATTTTGAGTCCTTTTGGTGACACACGAAGCCTCCTCCTGGGTCGGGGCAGGCAGGGGTGAGCTGCGGCTGGCCAGTCTGGGACTCACCCTCCTCTTTGCTCCTCACCTAGGTGATCTCTTGCCAGCAGACGGGATCCTGATCCAGGGCAATGACCTGAAAATAGATGAGAGCTCACTGACTGGGGAGTCAGACCAAGTCAAGAAATCACTGGATAAAGACCCCATGCTGCTGTCAGGTGAGGATCCCGGGCGGGTCTCGCGTGGTCAGTGCAGGGCTAGGCTGGGTTTGTGCCACGATGGAGCGGTGACCGCTCCTGAGTCCTGTGTCCCGGTGTTGGGGAGGAGATGGGAATGGTGTGCCGGTGTCCTGTCTCACCGTGGCCTTCCCGCTGTGCCAGGTACCCACGTGATGGAGGGCTCTGGCAGGATGGTGGTGACTGCTGTGGGTATCAACTCCCAGACGGGAATCATCTTCACTCTCTTGGGTGCGGGAGAAGGAGATGAGGAAAAGAAGGTGAAGAAAGGTAAGAAGATCCACTGAAACTGCTTTTTCCCTCCTTTTGCCTTTCTCCCTTTCCTGGGAAGCATCCACCAGTGTGCAACAAGCTATGCCCACGTCCGTGGGACGCGGTTGTGTGTTAGTGCCCGTGACCCAGGCAGGTACGGTGAGATCTTGAGGCAGCGGGGGTGATCCCTCCCTGCTGCCCCTTCGCCCGCAGCACGGGGATCATGCTGCCTGAAGAAAGCCCCCCATGCACTCAGACCTCCGCTCACCAGCTCTTTCGGACACAGCTCCAACTCTCTCTTCTCCAGCCGGCTGCAGCCTGGAGTTGCAGGGTGGGGGGGTCGAGGCTCAGAGGGAAAAATGGCCGATAGTGATGCCCCATGGTGCCGTGGCATGGTGCTCATTGCCTGCCCCGTGGTGGGAAGGTGAGTCCTGGTTGTCCGCAAGATGTTAGTAGCCCACCCAACACCCTGAGGACTTTGCTGAAGATCTCTGCTGGCATCCCCTGAGCTCCCTGGGGAAGGAGGCGAGGTGCAGAGGATGGCAAGAGGGAGAGGAGGGGGTGTGTTCTGGGGGGTGGAGGGTAGGAGAGCAGCCAGGTGGGCTGAGGTGTTCCTGATCATGCTGGGACTCAAATGCTTTCCTGCCTCAGCTCTCACATCTTGCTGCTTATTCCCCTGCTCTGTGCCAGCTCTGATACCAGCTTTAAAGCCGATATCGGTGCAAGCCAGGCTTGGGAAGCTCC